TGTGTGTGTGTGTGTGTGTGTGTGTGTGTGTGTGTGTGTGTGTGTGTATAAAAGGCACGTATTGTGAGGTTAAACCCAAGAAAAGTACCTTCAGTAAAGTAAAACATCATGTAAAAACATTTCTTTACAATCTTTCCCCGTTTGGAGTAAAAGCTGCTGCTGAGTCAGATCAGGTTTTGACGGGCAGCGTGAGGTGTCATGTGTTAGCAGAACCTGATCTCTGGACCGAGGCAGATATGATCAAAAGCCTGATTATTTCCCTACACTTCTGTCTCACGTAACACACCTTATGTGACAGAACTTCAGACTGAACAGGAAGCTGATAACAGCTTTGATAACTGGGCGAGGGTGGGGGTGTTTTAGGAAGAGTTAACTGGTGATTTTCTCTACTGACTCCCTCCAGTTTTGGTTTCGTTTTGTCCCAGTTCGTCGTCAGAGTGTCACCGTCCTGTTCTCTGTGTCTTACGTCTGCCGCAGCTTTGTCTCTTCTCTGTTTGGGGGTGGGATTTTTTTTTTTTTACTGTGACAGTGCCAAAGTAGTGATTTGTTAAAAGAACAGCAAGGTTTGCCTGAACCTGTACAGTATGTTATATCCCTATAAATATAACATCTTACATGTTGTGTTACGACACAATGAGCCTGTACTAAACCCATGCCTGCTATGCTTTGCTTCACTTAGTCTAGTCCCCTCCATTTATTGATATGCTGAATGCATGAAACCAATTAACACCTTTGTGCCAGCTGACCATGCTACAAACTGATAACAATAAATCTGCTGCTGTGACACCTCAACCCCAAGGCTCTTCTTTGTAGATGATCAGTAACAGGAAGCCAGCCTGGTTGAGGTGCATGAGCTCAGTCTGACTGTTGAGTAACTGTTTCTCCTCGCCCTGACGTTGCTGCCGGCATCCAGAATGAAGAGCGGAGCTAGCAAGGCCTGGGGCAACAACCAGGATGGTGTGGTGGCCAGCCAGCCCGCCCGCGTGGTGGACGAGCGTGAACAGATGGCCATCAGTGGAGGCTTCATCCGCAGGTAGGACCAGAGCTCAGAGCTCCCAGAGTTGATTGGAAGGGATGCGGGGAGACGTTTGGGCTTTGGCTGATGGAAAAAGAGAATCAGTGATTTACTGACAGTCGACAACAAACAGCTCAACATTAGCTCAGTGAGACCAGTTCTCACGTGAAGAAAACAACATGACAGTTCTGTTTCTGTAAAACTCAGGAATGTTTGTCAGAAACATCAAGTCTTTTCATGAATGAGAGCTGAGTTCATTGAAGCTTAATGTTTTGTTGTTAACTGATGCGGTTTCTGAAAGTGACTTCTAGAAACAGACAGCTTTATTGGTTTTGCTCTGTCACTTCTATAATTCAGCTCTTGATGAAGTGCAGGTGTAAATTCACTCTCTGCACTCTCGACTGGTCCGGTCTGTCACAAAACTAACTCAGAATGGAAGTTTAAACCAGGAGTGTCATTGAGGGCCACTGTCCGGCATGTTGCACTTGTTTTCCTGCTCCATCACACCTGAATCAGTGGGTCAGCTCCCTCCATGTTCTGCAGACGCCCGTTAATCACCCATTGATTCAAATCAGGTGTGTTGCAGCAGAGGAGCATTTAAAACATGCAGGACTGAACACCAGAACATTATTTTCATTCACAATTTTAAAGCCCAAAAATAGGAATTGTTTTAGCTCCAACAGAAGTCGTCTCAGGGCACTGAACAGAAACATTCCCTTACATTATAAAAGACAATCAGTAAAAGTTCTCTTTCTAAGGAAGCAGCAGATTGTGTTGAATTTTTACTTCATCACAGCTTCCCATCCCGAGCAAGAACAAAGAAGACAGTGGAAAGGAAAAACTCCCTTTAACAGGAAGAAACCTCCAGCAGTCTAAGTCTATAGCAGCATAACTAAAGGATAGCTCAGGAAACCCAAGCCGACCCTAACTAGAGGATTTATCAAAAAGGAAAGTCTTAAACCCAGTCTTATAAAACTGGACAATGTGTCAGCCTCACAGGCAGAAACTGGAAGTTGGTTCCACAAGAGAGGAGCCTGATAACTGAAATATCTGCCGCCCATTCTGCTTTTGGAAACTCTAGGAACCACAAGTAAACCTGCAGTCTGAGAGCGAGTGCTCTGTTAGGAAAATATGGAACAATAAGATCTGTAATATAAGATGGAGCTAAGTTGTTGAGAGCTTTGTAGGTTAGAAGTAAGATTTTGAATTAAATTCTGGATTTGACAGGGAGCCAATGGAGAGAAGCTAAAACTGGAGAAATATGATCTCTCCCACTAACTCCAGTTAAGACTCTGGCAGCAGCATTTCAAATTAACTGAAGGCTTTTTAAGCACGTATTTGAACACCCAGATAATAAACCATTGCAATAGTCCAATCTAGACATGATGCATGAACCAGTTTTTCTGCATTATCAATTCATAAAGGAGATTTCAGGACACTGTACGACCACTGCTGAGTCTGATGACATTCACTTTCTGCTATGACTGACTGTTGGATGATCCAGCAACTGTGATAACACTACCTCATCACTCATGATGTCAATGATTATGCTCTCTGTCGGCTACATGTCTGCTTCTCATAAATTAAAACATTTATATAATGATCATCAGCTTATTTATGTCAAAGATTTATCATAAGCTACAAAAAAAAAATGCAGGAATAAAATAGACCAGAATAAAATTGTAGACTTGTGTTGAGGACTTCAGTCAGCCTCTGCTGTTTGGAGCTTTAAGATTAAATCTGAGCGGCGTTACCAATGTGCGCTGTCTTGGCCCTGGTGTGACGTGAATGTGACCTTGTGTTCAGGGTAACAGACGATGCTCGGGAAAATGAGATGGACGAGAACCTGGAGCAGGTGGGAGGCATCATCGGTAACCTGCGGCACATGGCTCTGGACATGGGCAACGAGATCGACACCCAGAACCGCCAGATCGACAGGATCATGGAGAAGGTACTGATTCTGTTGTTCTTCAGTATGTTTATGTCAGGTTATTTATCTGTAAAGGTAAAAGAAGTCGCTGTGATCGTTGCAAGAACTTGAACTTTAGACAAGTAGAATTAAAACAGTACATTACAAAAAGTTAGGATCGTTGTTGTTCAGCTCTAATCATGTTAAAACGTTTAATGAACAGGAAAGGTCAATGAGACTTTAACTAGTAATAATGGACAGAAGATCTCCTGTTCCTCAATAAACAGTTGGAATAAATTGTAATTTTACCAGAGCATTATATAAAAAGAAATAAGAATCTGGAAAACTTTTGGTGCATAAAGAGCAAAAATACGAGGCTGAGTGTAAATCCAACCTTCAGTCATGACAGCATCAAGAATTATTCATCAGCTGTCAACAGATTACTGTGGAAAACAAACACCAGCAGCATTTACATGAACCTTCTCTGTGCTCCTGGCAGCTCAGCATTCAGCATCTTTTGTCCAAGATGTCGACTGTCCCTCCTCTGAATATGTCCAAACTGCCTCAGTCTCTAACTTTGTCGCCAGCTTGAGCTGTCTCTCATTTTTAATCCTGTCCATTTTGATCTCCCAATGAAAACCAAAACATCTTCATCTCTTCCAGCTCTAACTCGTCTTGTCTTTCTGTCAGGGACACGTAAATAGTAAATGGTAAATGGACTGTACTTCTATAGCGCCTTTCTATCTTATTTCAAGATACTCAAAGCAACTCTCAAAACTAATACCGTATTTTTTGCTGTATAAGTCACTGTTTTTTTGTTGTTGCATAAATTAGCATGCCTGCGACTTACACAGTGAAGTGACATAGTTATGTTTTTTCACCATATTTATAACCCAATTTTTGGCTGAGATCTGACAATTTCATTCATTCTGTCATGGAAAATATTGAACACTACCATTTTCAGCTACTAGAGGGCCCTCAAGTAATATGGCAAGCCAAATGTCTCATTAATAGGTAAAAGTGTCTATTAATGAGACACTTGGCTTGCCATACCCTGCCACCTTCATCTCGCTCCGGAACTCTTGGAGCAAATGTCAAATCAGCTTCATTTTGCCGCACCGCCCAGGCAAAATGAAGCCAATTTAACCACTGAAGTGCATTTATTAAGTAAAAGTTCAACAGAGACACACTTTTAATATAGTTTTGAGCAAACAAATAATTGCTTTTAAGCGTTAATCTTGTTAAATGCTTGTTAAAGTCCTCCCGCGCACGCTCCAGCGGCCGCCATTTGGCAGCCAATTTATTTTTGGCGCAACACCGGCCCACACTTCCGGGTTTTCATCAGTGATGTGTAACAAACGTGATGCGTCAGCGATGACGCATAATAGATGTGACTTATACGGCAAAGCGACGTGTTTATGGATTTTTCCACTTTATTAGACAAATTTTGACTGATGAGACTTATAGAGTGCTGTGACGGTCAGCACGTACAGTAATACCTCTGTAACTCCTGTAGCTGTCCTTTTGTCTCAATCATCACTAAAATAAACCTCCACTTCTTCAGACTCTCTTCCACCTGCTCCCTACTCGCATTACTGACATGTCTAAAGAAAGGTTGAATGAATTGTTATTTATGACACATAAGGTAACATAAAAAAAAATCTACATTTTTATATTTTTGAAGTAAAAGACAAGTCAAAGTGAATGTACAGTAAAGAACATAACTTTTCCCTTATCCCCCCCCACACACACACACACATTTTTTACCATTCAATGTTAAAGAAAATAAAAATAAACACTAACCTTCTAGTGTTTGTGTTCTTCTTATCCAGGCTGAGTCCAACAAGACTAGAATTGACGAGGCCAACCAGCGCGCCACAAAGATGCTGGGCAGTGGCTAAACGCCGCCGGCCCAGAGTGTGATCTTCCTGCGTCCGGCACCGCACACATCGACAGGCGCTGGCATGCTTTTATCATGACCTTCTAGGTTTGCACACATGCACATATCACCCCCTGTCCCCAATTTCAATGTTGTTCTGTGTCGTCTGTCAAGCTTTTTCAAGATGATTGTCCTCGTAAAACAATGATTTCTTAAACTCCGTATATCATTCTTTCCAAAGGTTGTATATAGTGCTGACTTGATGGCTCTATAGCTCACTTGTGAAATTTTTATTCTCTTTATCTCTCTTCTTATATATATATATATATATATATATATATATATATATATATATATATGCAAGAAGACTGCTCTGGATGACAGTATATTATAGGAATGCTAAACAAGCTGTTTGAGTTTTTTCTTTTCAGTATCAGTATTGTCTGTAAAACTGTGTCATTCCATTCAGGCTACTGTCATGCTCCTTTTTCTTTGGTGTTGTCACAACAGAAGTGTTGACGAAGGTTGAGTAAACAGCAGTAAACATGAACCGACGGTGGTTCAGCTGAGAGAGATTGCAAAGAGCGCTCACAATCAAAAGACAGTCGTTGATCCATCTTTCTTTTCTTGGCGATCATTCTGAGTTTCTGTTCAGACAAAACGTGCAACTCTGTAGCTGTATTAGACATTGCATTCCAAGTGATGTGACTTGTGCGTTCTCTGCATGACAAATGGTAGATTTTAGTCTCATAAATAAAATCTGTCTGAAAACTATATATAAAAAATGATGCCATGGCAGTAGCAGGTTGACAAAGCGCATGCTCAGTATTAGACACCGTCGATCGTTCCATAATCCTGCAAGTTTGCAATAGTGCCACTCTTTCTGTCTCAATATATTTACCGACTGTGACCATCTTGTTGTACAATAATGCAAAAAGGGTTAATAAAAAGTATGATAAAGTTTTAAAAAAAGAGGACTTGGGGTTGTGTTGCAAAAAATATAAAGACCTGTTTTCTAAACAATTATGCAGTTCATTGCTGAAGCTGTTGACTCTGTGATGAAAGATGAAGACTGGTTGTGTTCTGTATCATAGGTTTTGGATGCTATGAACAAAATGAAATAAAAGTTTGCATTGTAAAGCAAAGACGCATCATGTTTCTGAGAGACTTTACTTTTATAAGAAGACTGTTTCTGTCAGTTTGTTTTCCCCATGTGCTTTGTTAATGGTAGAAATACTGAAAACAACACAAAAGAGTGATGTTTCCTTCTTCTTTCTTTGCTTCTGTACTTTAGAGCTACGCACACCAAACGGCCCACATGTTGAGTAGTTCCAGTAACCCAAACCTGAACGGCACAATAGTTACCCTGTGAGATGATGTCCTCGGTGCATGTCAAACCACTCCCTCTCTGTACCTGTCAGTGTGTGAAGTGGTGGACATTTTGTAGCTAGCTGAACTGATTAAAACTAATAAACTTTAGTCGCTCCTGTGTCTGTTGTCATTGCTTAGAGGCCTTTGTTCCTTTCTCTAAAATCCAGGTCGACAGTTTCAGAAACACGACTTCCCTTTTAGAGTACGTATAAATTATCACCGAAGGGCCAGAAACTTCACACGATGTCCACACTTTATCTTGAAAACTAATTGTTGGATAAAATATCCTCTTTTCATCTTACCGGTACTTACTCAAAGAAGCCCCACTTGAGGACATGAGAAGATTTTTTATTGTTTTTTACCTATAAGGGCAGACTTTCACCACAGGTTACACAGATGTACACAAGTTCTACATGCATGGAGCCCAGTCAGGAGAATCTGCCCCGGGCAGTGTGTAAGGTTTGTTTTTATAAGCTTATCAGCACTCACAGTTCACAGGTAGTCTCGTGACCATGGCCATCCAGCTGAACATGCAGGATCCTCATTCAGCTCTCTCTGAGAGAGAAAATAACTCTCTGGTAACTCAAACACACGGTTCATGGGCAGTTAACATTCTCAGCCATAGTACTTAAAAACATCCATAAACCTTGACCAAAAATCCCATATTTACTAGTGCATAGATTTAGGTCGATGGACTGTACTTACATAGCACCTTTCTAACTTATCAAGACACTCAAAGCTCTTTACAACACAATCTGTGTCCTCATTTACCCATTCATACAGTACTCTATGAGATCTGTACAAAGATTAATCAGCGCTTTATCACATTCATACATGGGACACACATCAGAGGCAATGAGGGGTTCAGTGTCTTGCCCAGGGACACTTCAACATGTGACTGCTGGTGGAATCGAACCTCCGTCTCTTGCATTGGAGGACGACAGCTCTAACCACTCAGCCACAGCCGCCCCCGAATGTACTGTATGTAAAATACTTTCAATTATTTTACTGTACAATGCACAACTTCTGTGACTGAATTTTCCTCCTTGCAACGTTTGGAAACATCGTGGAGGAAATGTGGACATTTCGAGGTACCTGCGTGACTCAGTAATTATTGGTTCAGTGTTTGTGTACTCAGATTGGTGTCGTGCTTAAATATAATACACTTTAAATCAAGAGTAGCAGAAGCAAAAAACATATTTTTGTTGCCAGCATTAAACAAAATGAACAGAGCTGAAACCAAACGCTTGCTTCTTTCCAAGTGTCTACAAGCAATATTTGTTCATAAAGAAATGTTTCTCACACTTTCATCCAGTTTCGATGTTTGTTTGTTTGTTTGTTTTTTTCATAAAACTGAAGATGAAACAGGTCCCATGTTCATGTCACAGCAGTGTTTATCATCACACCCATGAAAATTCATACCAAAATTTAGCTAGGTTAATTTTTGTTTGAGACGCACGTTGTAATGATGGAAGTTTATTGTCTCCTTCAGGATCACAAAAAATAAGGAACCATAGAAACCACAGGATCATCCACATGATGCACAAAAGAAGGAACCATAGAAACCACAGGGTCATCCACATCATGCACAAAAGAAGGAACCATGGAAACCACAGGGTCATCCGCATCATGCACAAAAGAAGGAACCATGGAAACCACAGGGTCATCCGCATCATGCACAAAAGAAGGAACCATGGAAACCACAGGGTCATCCACATCATGCACAAAAGAAGGAACCACGGAAACCACAGGATCATCCAAATGATGCACAAAAGGAACCATAGAAATCACAGGGTAATATAAATGATGCGCAAAAGAAGGAACCATAGAAACCACAGGGTCATACACATGATGTGCAAAAGAAGGAACCATAGAAACCACAGGATCATACACATGATGCAGAGAACAAGGACCCATGGAAACCACAGGGTCATACACATGATGCTCAAAAGAAGGAACCACAAAAACATGATCATTCACATGATGCACAAAAGAAGGAACCATAGAAACCACAGGGTCATACACATGATGCACAAAAAATAAGGAATACGGATTTCTTACAATGCTGTGATTGCTAGTATCACTCAGCCCTCTGTGAACAGTAAACAGCCATCAGTGTGCTAATGATCCATTGTTAGGCTGATGGTCCTTCTTGAGCATGTGATCAGCTGATTTTGGTTGTCAGCAGCAAAACTGGTTGATCCACTCTGAGAAGGTGCTATTTAAGAGACTGAGCTGAAAACAGCACCTCAGACTGAGGAAGTCTCTCGGATGAGAGACGAAACGTTTCTACATTTTTTTTGTTGTTTTGCTTTGTTTTGGGTTTTTGAATGTCCAGAGGACCAGATTTAACTTTTTTAGATTTTTCTACCTGGATTATTGAGCATGCATCAGGACATATCCAACAGTCACTGTGAGAGAGGCGGGGCACACCTGGACAGGTCTACAGTCCATCACAGGGACACATGGAGACAAACGAGACAAACAACCATTCACTCTCTCACTCAGGGACAACCTACCAATTCCAGATATTTAAATTTTTTTGTCAGACTCGTGTATTTTTTAAGTCAAAAAAGCCGCCTGACGATTTCAAATTTCAAAGTTTCAAATTAATCAAAGTTTTTGAATAAACCATATTAGACTTTAGGATAAATCTATAATGTTTCTGTTATAATGTTAAGTCATGTTTACTGTAAAGTCTGTCCAATCACCTGACGATGCTGGATCAGAGCCAGGCAGCTCATCAGTCGCTCCGGTCCTGCAGCAAGAGGAGCTGTAAGAAAGATCATGCGCTGAATGCACAGGCACGACAGCAGGTTGCAGTCATGCAGGGCGGTCCAGAGGTGGGGCTGCTCTGTTACATGAAGGAAAGCCACTGCAATCCCCCCACCCACACCCACATTATCTTTGTTGAACAGAAAGCAGGATACTCCATCCAGCAGCATGTCATTGCTCTGGAAAAAGCAGCTGTTGGTGCTGTAGAACTGAAAGCAGCTTCATGTTTGTTGTGGGAGAACATGTAAATCTGCCCCATCACTGCTCTTTGTAAGCATCACCTCCCATTTCTCCTCCTGAGATGTCTGAAGCGTTTCCTCTTCTCATAGTTTTACTGGAGGCTGAACAGTTTATGTATCCTCAAAAACATGAAATGACCTCTGCTGTCATGAGGGGCCGGAGCAACATGCCGATAACTGTGGAAACACTGACACCTGGTGGTCAACAGCGGGTGTCACAGTGGAGGGTTTTGCATGAAGAGGTTCCAGGGCTGACCAGTTGGTGCTGCAGCTGGTTCTTTAAAGAGTTTGGTCCGTCACCATGGCAACAGGCTGTATGTAGTAAAATTTGTTTCACCAAGTCTGCAAACCTGCAGTGTTCGTTCATCTTAAAATGACACGCAGCGACTTCCTTCCAGGCTTTTTGGCTTCTAACAGTTCCCCCAGCAACACAGAACAACCTCGAAGGTTCCTACCTTGAGCTTGGACTTTGTTGATTACTACATGTTGGGCTGATCTCAACATAAAATCAGAACAAGAGTACCACAGATGACACACTATACACCCATCCACTACAGCAATCTATCACTCGGGTAAGACCACATATGACCTTTGACCTTGATTTGTGACCCTGACCTTGAAGCTGGCGCAATGGAAAATGACTCAGTCTAGTGATGATGCAAAGGTTTATTAAGCTTCACCAAATTATCCTGAGCAGCTCAGTTCTGTGCCAAACGAGAAATTAAAGAGGTATGGAAAAAATAAAATGTGTTTGCTTCTGATGGGCATATAAAATAATTTAATTTATTTTCTACAATCCGGTTATTATTGCTCCAACATCTTTTATGTTAAAATTACCCACCTTAAGTAGCAATCCAGTAATAAAACTCGTTTAAATGTTTGAAAACGAT